TGTATAAATTGTTTCTTTATGATATATATATATATATATATATATATATATATATATATATATATATATATATATATATATATATATATATAAGGAAGACGTTATAGTAGTTCCAACACGAGGAAAGTGTGTATATTAAAAAAGAAGAGAAATAACGCAAACGTTTTTGGTTGTAATGTGGATTTTTTTAAAAATATATTATGTTTTATTTTCCATAATTTTACTACACGGATTTCTGGTCTCGCGACCGTCAGCAGAAAAAGGGTGGAGATTTTTCCACATATTATTAAAAATAACTAATTTTTTTCTCCTTTATGTTTTTCGATGTTCAGTATTCTCGATATGAGACATTCTTTTTTTTGTGTTAGTAATTCGTATGTCTTTCTTGAACTGGCAGTGAAGTGTGCGTATGTGTGTATGTATGTGTGTGTGTGTGTACTGATTCCTTGTAGTGGGCCGGTGTGTATGTGTGTGTGTGTATCTGTACAAATATGTATACTAATTCCTCATACTGAGACAGTGTGTATGTATGGAGAGGGAATATACACATATATACAGGCATGCTGACAGAAACACACGAAAATGGAAATAGATCTAAGAACACACAGGGGTCATTAAAACATTAAAAAATAAGATACCGATAACTAATTCATCATTTCTCGGACCAATCTTAATTGTTTTATGATTCTGCTAAATATTGGTATCTCTGTATTTTCGCCGCCTCTGCCTTTACGATATAAAGAATAAGCCATTCTGCAGCGATTAGATAACAAGTTGTATCAAATTAATGATACACTTGAAGATACAAGTTGCCAAAAGTCATCAGTGAAAATCCAATAAAATTTTTGACTCAACCTGGTAACTGAAACATTTTATTAAATAAGCCCATTCAAATGAAAGATGTTTTCATACATTATTTAAATTAAACTTAGTCTGTTCTTCTCGATACCGTGAATATTGAAGGGTTTATTGAAACTTCAACTTGTCAATGCTGACCATTAACTTAATTGATTTTCATTCATTTTGATAATTCAATTAATAATTTTGATTTATAATTTTAATCTTTGTTTCAATATACAGCGTAACATACGCACACACACACACACACACACACACACACACATATATATATATATATATATATATATATATATATATATATATATATTGATAGAAACGTGGTTGAGTGGTTAGAATGTTTGCTTTCTGATCATGTGATTCGGATTCGAATCTCACAATGGTCGATTTTGATGCTATCGGTCTCGGGAAGGCTATCCTAGAGTACGTCACATTTGAAAAGTATCTGAAAACCATTCCACGGGTTGAACCAAGCCTTGTGAGAGAAATTGGGTATACGGAATTCTTTGGAAATCACTAGTCATTGTCAGACTGTTGAATACGCTAGACAACACGCTCTCTCCAGAAACTCTAACTAATCTCCGCTCAGCATAGTTACAGTATAAACAAGAAGTGGGCTCAGTGAGTGTTGGACAAACACAAATGTGTCTGCAACAGAGACTTCTAGCCAATTCTAGTGGATGGGCATCCTGGGATACTAGTGGCTAGACATTATTATATATTTCTGAAATTTCTGTCTCGCAAAGAAAAAAAAAAAATTAAATATTAATATTATATATATATATATATATATATATATATATATATATATATATGGTTAATGTGAGTAAAAGTTTATCGCTTAGCTGATTGATGTTATCTTCAGCATCCCGACCCAGAGTTTCGCCGGCGGACCTGTCCATCCACTTTTCTCAGGGTATCACCAATTTACTGCTTATAATTTTTTTCCTTTTTATATACATTTAACATTGGTGTAAGTTTTTATGATTTTTTTGTGTTTATATGTGCGTTTGTGTACGTGCAGTCATACGCCCGTCTCTGCGGCTGTGCGTTCATGCGCGTGCGCCCGTCTGCGCGGATGTGCGTACGTGTGGGGTGTTGTGTTCCCTTTCGCCCTTCTTTTCTTTTTTTTCCTCTTCTTTCACGTTACACTCGCTTCCCAGCCTTCTCTCTTTTACTTTCATACAAGATGGTCGTATTTCATTTAAACATTCTTGCTTAATGAAGTGGTGAATTCTCGTACCACTTATTATTATTATTATTATTATTATTATTGTTATTATTATTAGTAGTAGTAGTTTCGTTGTTGTTGTATTATCGAAATATGAAATTTGGACATTTTATCCACAATTTCGATTTGGTAAAATATATATGCCGTTCATGAGGATGGTGTCATGGCCGAGAGTACTGTTCGTTAGATGTTGCCTTAGTTCAGAAGTGAAAAATTTAATTAGGAAAACTGAAAATATTCCGGTATTTTTCTCAGTAGTTGATAAATATCGAAACATTTATTAAAAATAATTTATGTTGCATGCCACTGGACATCGCAGAAATATTCCACATATCTGACAAGAATGTTGTATGGAATTTGTAAAGTTTTGCATACGTATATCATACGTATAAATTTAATATTTTCAATAAGCAAAATACTTTTCTTGTATTTCAAAATTAATTTAAATTGATTGGAAAAGGTTTCCGTTTCGAGGTTTGTTAAAATCGCTCATTTTAGAGCCATTTTAGCTATCGTTTATCACAATGTAATTCTATTTATTAAAAATCTTTCAAAAATAAAATATAATTTTCTGAAATTTTATTTGAGGAACATTAGTCGATTTAAAGTTTAATTTGATTTCAAACAGATATTACTAACTTTAAGTTTAAAATATCGCAGAAATGCATTTTTAAACGGCGGTAGCTGTTTATTTAAGTTGTTGACAGCTTGACTGATAGACGGAAGTTTATCTAATTTTTTTCTACGATAGACATATATGCAAAATTTACTTGAAGAATATAACGTGAACACCTTTTTGATATAATTTTGAACTATCCAATAATTTTAAACTAAATAGGATAATCTTCTCCGTAATCGAGATGGGATTTATTGAATTTTAGAGATTTTAGCTTTAAATTAACTATAGCTGTTGTTCTTATTTTCTAATAATGTTTGTGTGGACATCCGTATTTACAAAAATATTTGTGTTTATAAACGGCGCAAAAAAAGAACTTAAAAATTCTTTTTTAAAAATAATGGTGGGGGCGTCTATGAATTGCATTAAGCTTTTCCATTTAGTAAATATAGTAAATATAGTTTTTACTTAATAACAATATCAGTTAACCCAGGGCCGGATTTAGATGAAGAGAGGCTTTGGGCTATTCCACTAGTGAGGGCCCTCTAAATTCCCTATTCTTACGGGGAGAAGAAAATGGAAGTGTGTGTTAAATTAAACAAGTTGAGTAAAGCTGAGGATGATGACGAGTGTTTAAAATTACTGAAGAGTTATTTAGAGTCTACAACGCGTTATGACAGCACGTGTAAGAAAGGACGATGACAGTGTCAAAAATATTATACACTTTGGCTGGAGGCACCCTAGATTTTGAGGCTCTAGGCTTCATCCTGCTAAGCCTATTGCGACCTAACCTTTGCAAAGTAATATAAAATGCAATAAAATTTGAATATTAGAAAATCTTTTAATTACTTATATAAATGCAATATGTTTAATAAATAAAAATGGGACATCTATTTTAAATACAAAGTCTCCACTATATTTAAGTATGCCCGTGTGTTTGTATGCGTGGGCGTATGTGTATGTATGGAGCAAAAGTGCTCAGTATCTACACTACAGTTCAAAAGTTTGAAGCAACTCACAGAATTAGCATGGGATGAATTTGACAGAAGACCGAAAAAAAAAGAAGAAAAATAGCTCTCAGAGTGATTGAAAAAACAATGAATCAATTATGAAATTTATACTTTGAGAAAATTTTGCAACGAATGCCAAAAATTTTTACTGCAGTAATCAATGCTAAAAGAGGATATTTTAACGAGAGCAAAATGTATTCATAAAATGCTTCTTTTTTTTTTTTCGTCATATTAAAATTTCTAATAAAAATTCATGTCTTACTTTTCTTAACCACGTATATTTCTCTTATTTAAAGTACAAAACAACTACTTTTGGGTCTAATTTAAAAAATTACCAGGGAATACCTAAAACTTTTGAACTGTGTATATATAGACAATTTGAATACAGAAATTAACACTGCATGATAAATGTTAGTTACACGTCTTGGGTTATTTTCAGATTATGTGTGTTTGTGTATGTTTGTGTGTAAGTAATATTTACCCTGGTCTCCCCACTGAGATGTGCTGTGAGACAAGGGGTCAGGTTTAATGTGGGGAACCCGAGCGCGTACTCCCGGGCCAGAACCCGAAATTGCCGAGCGCCCGGAACAGTCAGTTGCGCAGGCATCAGTATGGGTATCGATCCCCACCTCTCTAGTGAAATTCTTCGACTGTTCGTCGGGACAGTGCACTTCTCAGTATTTTTTCGTTCAGTCGCGTCTCTGCCTGCAGACAGAGACACAATTGAGCTGCCCTCTGCCCGAAGACAGAGATGCAACATGTACCAGTTAAATGGTTTTATTAATATAGATCTTCGTTCTCATATTCTTGTGTTTTTTACCCCACAAAAAGTTATAATTCAAATATGATAATCAATTTGCAATCGACTTAATGTTTTCAGTAAACTTGCTTTTTATTAAACAGGTTTTTATAAACAATTGCTATCTATTCGTTAGAATTTTTAATTATTATCGTATATGTCTTTATTTAATCATTATATTAGATTTTGATGCTCACTGGTATTGTTGTTGGTATATATTCTGTCATTAGTTGTACAAGACTTTGCTTTGAGATTATCGTATATTCGGTTAAAAACTGACATTTGGACTTTGTCTTTGTTTTAGGTCAATGTTATTAAATAGATTCCTAAGAATAACAATCCTATCATCTGAATTATAAACCTCAAAGAGCCGACCGAGAGAAGATCACGAAGAAGATCTAAGAGGATCGCCATCATTAAGAAGTTTTGCTCTGTTAGGTAGGTGGGTGTAAACATATGCGGAAGTATACGTACTGCTTAAATATATTATAAAGTACATAGATAGATAGATAGATAGATAGATAGATAGATAGATAGATAATGATTAGTATAAGATAGAGCGATAGATAATGAATAGACTAACACAGATAATGAATAAAATAAGATAGATAGATAATGATTAGTATAAGATAGAGGGGTAGATAATGAATAGACTAACACAGTTAATGAATAAAATAAGATAGATAGATAGATAGATAGATAGATAGATAGATAGATAGATAGATAGATATGAAAGTATGTTGTTTGATAGAAAAATATTGAGAAAAGTAAAATGAAATTCTCATGGAAAATTTTACTACTAATAATATAATGAGTGGCTTCTCATTTCTGAGTACACCAATCTGGTAAGATGGCTAGCTAATCCCTGTTGCAGACACCCGCTCAGACACACATGTTTCTTCCACAGCTAGATATCAGTTGTTACTGAAACTACGCTGATCAAACCTTAGTTACACTTTCTGGAAGAGAATACATAATCTAGCTTGACCATTAGCTGAAGAAAACCATTTCAATCATCCTAGTCGAAAGCCTCGGTCACGATGACTTGTGAATTCATGCTCACCCAAGGATAGACGGCTTCGTGTAATCAGTTTCACACAAAAGTCTTGGGTCAAATCGCAGCATACTTTTCAGGCACTTCCAAACGGTACCACCCGTTGTGATCATCTCCCCAGGTCAATATATTAACAAAACGACTATGGGGAAATAAGTTTTTATCCATTTCAACTCAAGCAAGGAGATAAAGACACAAAGACACAAGAGTGTGCCGAGTACAAAAGCCAATGCAGTGAAGGAAACTAAGAAAATCGCTACTGAGAAAAAAGGAAAGAAATAAAAAGAAAAGGATTCAAGAAGTTAGAAGATGACGATTGACATTGCATTTTAATTTTTACTGATTGCAGTTTAGAGGAAGGCAAGAATATGAAAAAGAATTCCATGGATGAGCAGTGCGCGAGAAGAAACTATTAGAAGTGAATTTACGGTTACATTGAGCAATTTCAACAATAAAAGGATGAGACCATGGTACCGGTTTATTACTGCCCTTAAATTCATGAAGTTCAGGTAACAAAAAGGAAAGCTCACCAGAACAATTGCTATTAATATATTTGTAGAAAAAGCAGAAAGAACTTACAATACGGTGGAGCGAAAGGATGAGACGGGATGCCAATACGGGACCGATAATATTGTAGATTTATCTTTGGAAACAATTTTCAATGCAAAAGTGAATGGTAGACTTATGAAAGTGCAAGAGAGATTCGGGTAAAAAATTGTCTATCCTGATACAAGCAGACTTAGAAATTAGCTAGATATAATCATCCCAATTTATGTCCGCGCAAAATATAAGGCAAATAAAATATAATGCGTTACTCTCTTGAATGGTAGCGTCAGATATCCTGATGAAAAACAAAATGTTTTTTTCAAACAATTAAACGGGAGCAGGTTAGTTTTGGAGGTTTTCAAATTAACGAGGCATTCCTGCCTAAGCTAACTACAGATGGAAAGTCATCTTCAGAATCAGCTGTCAATTTATTGGATATATTTATATATATGTTTTTCTCCTTTCTAGTACGTTCGAAATTTTTCGTTGAAATATTTTTTTTTTACCTCAGCGGTCGACGTAATATTTACGATTAGTATTTTGGCACCTTTTTTCAGGTGAAAAGCAGAATTATTTGAAAATTCTTGCAAAAATCAAATTTTCGGATTTTAATAAAACTTTCAGGACTTATTCACAAATGAATGAAATTATTTTTGAATTTAAAAAAAAAATCTTGTTAATATATATATATATATATATATATATATATATATATATATATATATATATAATCGACTCTCCTGTCGAGATTCGACATATGAGGGTCAAGCAGATCAGTTTCCAGGAAACCGACAGCCCGACACCGGCACATGAGATTTGATTATAGTGGGGAAGGCTTCGTGCTGGACCACCCACACTTTTTTATATAATTAAGAAGGAAATTACTGGAAAGCAATTGAAACTCACCTGAAGCGGGCTGAATGTGTAATGCTCCTCATGCCAATGACACTTCCACTGAGCTTCTCTACGGCATATGACTTCACTGAATTTCTTGTGATGTGTTCCTCTCGAATTTATATTTAAACTGGGGTCATCAGGAGAGAATAATTATTTTTTGAAAAAAAATTTATAACATAAATATGTTATAAAATCACTACAAAAATAGCCATTTTGTTTCAACACCCCGGTGTCTTATCAAGTGATGATGTTGAATGTAAAATAAAATAACAATCCATATATATATATATATATATATATATATATATATATACATATATATATATATATATATATATATATATATATATATATATATATATATATATATATATATTATTTATGTTATCCCATACATAGTTAATTTCAGGAAATTTTGAGAAATTAAATTTCACTGTTAAAATTTGTTTTATTAGTAAAAAGCAGGACTCCTTCGAGAACTTAAATCGTCAGTATTTTGTAAAACAAAACACACAGATACCGAAAATCTGCTCTGAATCATAAAATTTAAAAAAATGTAATAAAACTAAGACATTATTTAATTAGAAAAGCTTTTAATTGCTTTTATGAATAAGATTTATTAAGATCAATATTGCCTTAAGAATTGTTTTTCAATGATTTATGCCTCTTTATAAGAATTGTTTTCATTTTTTAAATTTTAATTATAATAATTCATAATATTATAAATTGTTTAGAATTCTGCACTACTTAACTCCCGTTAGGTGATATTGCTATTAAGTGAAAACTATATTTATGAATCAAAAATTGAAAAGACCAAAAAATAGTTTGCACCCAATATTTTTTAGAATTATGTTTTAATAGATGAAGTCTCTGAAGAACAACAGTCAAGGTGTTGACATATTTTGTCATCACTTGTTAAGAGATCAACGGGTGACATGCGACTGTGATAAGTGCGTAATCACCGCTACTGTTTGTTTTAAAAATCCATTTCTCTGTTATTTGAAACTTAAAATAATTTTTTTTCAAATTAAATTAATTATACATTTTTAATTTATTATTTAGCAAATATTCCTCAAATAAAGTTTCAGAAAACTATATTGAATTTTGGGAGATTTTTAAAACCAAGAATTAACTTTCCTATACAAATGTATCAAAAATGGACGATTTTAAATGATTTTCTGAAAGCAACCAAAAAGTTAAGATTCCACTCAAAATAATTTCTATTTGAAATACACCATAGTATTTTGCTTACTGGAAATAGTAAATTTAATGATTTAGCTTACAGTTAAAGCTAAAATGAAAGATTCAAGAATGCTTTTTTCATTTTTTTCAAATTCATTTTAAACTTTAGTGGAGGTACCTACTTATAATGCACTTCGATTTTTAAACCCACATCTGGGAAATTTGAACATAATAAATAATCGAGAACCATAGGCAAATATTACCGAAAAGAACAAGGACTTGACGAAGGCCAGAGAACGTATAGACCCAAACGTTGAGTTCAAAACAACCACGATCAAGATCAAAATAACTCAAGATATCAATATTCAGATCAGAACGGCAAATAAAAACTTCTAAAAGTACTCTTTAATTTGTGGAAGTAAATGTCAAAATATACAATAGCAGATAGATAGATAGATAGATAGATAGATAGATAGATAGATAACGACCATTTGTACCATAAGGCAATAATGCTTAAATATGCAAGATAGATAGATAGATAGATAGATAGATTATATATAATCGGCCATATGTACAAAAGGTAATAATGCTTAAATATACAGTAGATAGATAAATAGATAGGGTGAGAGAAATAGGGGTAGATAGCGATAGATAACGTATACAATCGGCCATATTTACAAGAAGGTAATGATAACTTATTATTCAATAGTGCATAGATAGATAGATAGATAGATAGATAGATAGATAGATACTTCATACATAATTGGTCAGATTTACAAAAAGATAATGTTTAGATAGATAGATAGATAGATAGATAGATAGATAGATAGATAGATAGATAGATAACGTACGTAATAAGTCATGTGTAAAATAGGCTAGCTATACTTGTATAAAATAGCTACGAATAGATGTCTAATTTAAAATTCTTATTTGCTGCCTCTTTAAAAGGGAAAACAAATATAATTAATCTATCCTGATCGACAAACTGATCAGTATGTCCAGTCATTTCTACTATAAACGCAGTTAGATGCTATGGAAAGTTATGACAGAGATTTACAGACGGAATAAAGACGCTTTCACATCGAGTAAAAGAAATTTAAATTTATTTGTTGATAATGTAATTGCCATTGTTAAAAGTGACTAAATCCCATTATCCACATACATATTTTACTACTTGTTGAAATCTAGGGAATTGATCTCTTCCCGACGTTTAATGATTTTGCCACTAATAAAATGTTCGATTGAACAGAATAATAAAAGGATTTTATTTCCACGAGATATTGTGTCCCATGTAGGTCCTCTCAGCCTAAAGATTTTATCTTCTGCTGAGTTTATTTTACTATATAATTCATGATATCGGAAGCATAGACATATCAGACGCCTCATCATCTCAGCAAAAGGAATGCATACAAAAACCTAACCTGACCAAAAAGGTTCATTGCCTGTGTGATCGAAATATGTTGACATAAAACGTTACGAATCACATGACAAATCGATAAAGAATCTTAGGTGATGATGTGGATTGGCTTTTATATCTTTCTTCCATGCTTTTTCGTACGGTCCGAAGTTGTCCGGTGATTTGGAATAACGAGAATTTAGTCATTGTTCGACATCTTTTTGTCTTTCTATTCTACTAACAAATAAACTGAACGCCATGAAATACAGAATTGCTCGTTGTATTCTTTGCTTTGAATCATTAAGACAAATCACTGGCCAACACACAACCTGTTTATATCGCACTGGGCGTATGTCTGTAAAACATGTGTGTTTATTCATTCTTTCTCTCTCTCTCTCTCTCTTTCTATCAGTGTCATATTTCTTGATTATGTCTGTGATCATGGTTCTCCACATCTTCCTGCTTTTTTGCTCTGAACAATACTTGCTCGGTTATGAACCATCTTTGTGATACTTTTTCATCTAAGCATTTTCTAGACCTTGTCAATTAGAGTGCCTGTTTTTTTCTTTGGCTTCTTGACAATGACTGCAAAAGTCGAAAGTACTTGAACAAAAGATTACAGACGATGAATGTCGGACTGTTTATCCACAACGACGAGCACAATACTCAATATCTTATCCGAAAGTTGGAAAAAATATAATAAAAATTTAAACAGACAGCTCTTGTCATTTTTTATCAAACTTGTATATATATATATATATATATATATATATATATATATATATATATATATACAAAGAAAATTCGGATTGCCAACACACAAACAGAATGTCTCATATCGAGAATATTCCACATTGAACATGAAGAAAAATTAATTATTTTTAATAATATGTAAAAATCTCCACTTTCACCTGAAGACGGTTGCGAGACCAGACCAGAAACACGTGTCGTGAAATTATGTAAAACAAAAGTATAATATTTTTCTCAATAAATCCACATTACAACCCAAAAACGTTTGCGGCACCCCTCTTCTTTTAATATACATACTTTTCTCTCGTTGGAACCACTACAACATATTTCTTTTATATATATATATATATATATATATATTCTGAAATGACGTCACACATTATGAAATGAACAAAGCTCGACAATTATTTTAAGACATTTTTATGTTTATACATTCTTTTTATAGATACAAATATTTAAGTAAATGCTCTGTTTATAATAAACAGTATTAATAACATTTATCAGCCTGAATGTCCGAGAAATTTTCATAGAAAATATTCGTCCTCCGACAGGAATCGAACCTGTATCCTATACGGAACCGTACTTGAAGAACTACGAATGGATATCTGATTTATAAATTTTATTTCGGCGTGTCTTCAAAAAGGCAAGCAAATCTGATCAATTTATCTTGATTTTCAGATATGATTCATTATCCACCTTATTTCTTACGAATTGATTAGTATGTCCAGTCTCTTGCCATCTAACCTCCTTTTACACTCTGAAGTAATTAAATGTTATTTAAAGTTATGATGCAGATATAAAGACGGAAACGCCTTCAAATCCAGTAAATCTAAGTTAAATTCATCTTTTGAATATGTAATAACCATTATTGGCATTGGCAAAATCCCTTTATTTGAATCATGTTTTACTACCTTTTGAAATCTGATGAAATTATCTTCTCTTATGTTTAGACGATTTGGCCACTTATAAAGTGTTTGATTGAACAAAATAATAAATTTGTAGAGTTAGCGGAAGTTAACGATTTCAAATCAAAAAGATCAAATGACAAAAATAAACATATTTTTCTTCCGGTTTAAAAACATATTTCAGATTTTCAAATGAGTAAAAATAAAGAATAGCCAATAAAATTAGCTCCTGTCAATAAATAAACATAAATTTCGGCATCCTACACGAAGCAATATGAACTAGACATCCATTCAACTCAGCAAAAGGACTGGCAGCACGAAAGAGACACAAATCAACCTCGTCGTCCTGTCTTTCTGTCTCCCAACTCCACTTTCTCCCCGTCTTCACTGAAAGTCTATGTTCATTTCATTTTCTGTCAGTGAGAAGAACTTTCTAAATACAAACTTTTATTTCGTCAGAGCAGTTGAGAATTTATGTATTTTATGTGAAATAACTGTCATCATTTATTTGAACACGCAGCAACTCTTTCTCTCCTTATTTTTATTTAACAAACTGTGACTCATGAAATCTCCACCCACTCACCAAAAAAGTTTAAAATAATTTAATTTCACAAAACCTCGGTGTCGATGTAACCAGTTTGCCAGTTTTATTTTAACTTCTGAAAAAAATGCTCATTTTTGTAGATTGAATCTTTACTTCTTATATATTCCTGAAAATAAATATCTGATTCCTTTGCCTTATTCTCAGAGCTCATGAAACACGAAATCTACCTTATTTCGTCGACTGATCATGATAACCTTGATTACATACTAGCAGCATGGCCCGGCGTTGCCCGTGCTTGATTTAAAAATTGTACGACCCATACAGCAATCACTATCACTTGGCTTAAAATATTTTTGCTCTTCCTTGCCTTTAAAGGAGAGTCCTTTGCCGTGTTGATGTTGCTACTTGCCTTACTTCTTGCCTATCTCACACTGCGAATTTTTTCTAAGCTCTATACTAAACATTAAATCTGTTACGAAAAAAGAACTAAACAAAATGAACACAAAACGATCAGCTTTAAAAAAGGACTCGTAACTGGAAAAACCGAATGAAAAAAGAATGTTAACAACAAATATTTTTTCACACCCAACCAAGTTCTGCGGAATAAGAATCAACGTTGAGTTTAAGCAAGCGAATGAGCCAATTGGAGTAAAGTGCCATGCAGATTTAAATTTTTCCCACTTGTGACGAATGCAGCTATCGATTTCTTTTTGTATGCTAGCATGCTTGTTAATATTCATGTCAGTCAGCTGTTGGCTCTCACGCTGGCCAATAGAATCTTCCTGACTATTCGTGGCAGCCAGCTATGGGCTCTCACTCTGGCCAGTACAAAATGGCCGCAAACTACATGAAAAGTGCCGTAGAAGCATGAAATAATCGATTATTTCCACTATCGATGGGAGTTGGGAAATACAATGTCTGTCTTGGCCTTCCCGCTAACTTGTAGCATGTGCGTGTAAATTTTGGTGCAAATCTGTCGAAAATTGCGGCCGTGTATTCGTTATACACACACACACACACACACACACACACACACACACACACACACACACACACATCCTGCCTTTTATAGATAGCTATTACTTTAGTTTAGAAATTTAACAGATTTTTGCTTAGAATACGAATTTCTTTGAATAAATAATAAAAGAATCAGTTTACATTGCGTATTTTACTATTGCTAATAATGATTATGTTTTTAACAAAAAACATTGCATTTAAACAACTGAAAATCTTCTCCCTATGTTTACTGATTTTGTCACTTACGAATTGATCTGCTGTCACTGATCTTATTTATTTTTTTACTGGTATTATTTGACGTTCTTAACAAGTAACATTGCATTTATACAACTAAAAATGCAACATTACGCTCTGTATAATGTTATCATTTCTTTTTATTGAACTTCATCCTATTTGAACATGGTGGGAAGTGAATACAGTCGCTTGTAGATACAATACGGCGTATAATCCGGACAGGCTGTTATGTGATATATTGGCTGAAAGGAAATTTTACAAGCCGGAAAACACTAGATATCTAAAAGGCCATAAACTCACATTGTAAATAAAATTAAAATATTTTATAGGAATATAAAATTCAATATTAATACTTGGATTTCAACCTGGGAGTTGATTGTTTTTTTAAAGTCTATCCGCATCGAAGTCTTTTTCGTTCTCTCTTTATTCAGGAGTGAAGTTAGTAAAAAGAAAATCAAAGCAGGTCTTTTAATGGAATAAAGTGTTGAAAACATTTTTTTAATTTGTTTTTATTTTATTTATTCGGGTTACATATTTATCAGGTACAAAAGTCAATATTCGAAAAATGAATTAATGCACATTCGTCATACCTGTGTCTGTTGTGTGTCTATGTGCTTGTAAGTGTATAGGCATACGTGTTTGTTTGGTTTGCTTTAGTTTTATTTTTGTCTCATGCTTTTGACACTTCTACACATTCTCTTAAAGATGCAAACAAATTTGGTCCGTCAGCCTCACAATCCGTTTTATTTTATGTCTCTATTTTTCAATATCATTATTTTTCTTCTATTTATTCAAGAAACACTTCCGTTGATGTGGAAGTACTTATACATCTTTCCAAATTTTACGTTGCCTGCTGTCGACGTATATATACATATCAATATAACGTGAAATATTGATTCCAAGTATTTTGT